TCTGGCAGTGGGAAGCCATTCCCTGTGTCCTGTCCCTCCATCCCTTGTCCCAAGTCCCTCTCAGCTCTCCTGGAGCCCCTTGAGGCACTGGAAGTGGCTCTGAGGTCTCCCTGGAGTTCTCTCCTCCAGGTGAGCACCCCCAGCTCTCCCAGCCTGGCTCCAGGGCAGAGCTGCTCCAGCCTTTGGATCATCTCCATGGCTGCTCTGGACTCTCTCCAGAAGCTCCACATCCTCCTGTGTTGGTGGAGCAGCACTGAAGGTGGATCTCACCTGAGAGTCCTAAGGAGAAGGAACCTGCACAGCCTTCAGTGAGTGGGAAGTGCAGGAATTCCAGGTGGATTTAACCTGTGGAGCAGGAACTGGCAGTGGCTGGGGAAGCCATGGAGCTCCTCAGGAACTGCTCCAGTCACCTCCTCCTCATGTCAGTGCTTGGCTCTCCCCTCCAGGCTCCCCCCAGCAGAGGAGTCCCCATGCCAGGCTGTGGGAAGCTCCCCTAGCTCCAAACATTCCCCATGGATGCCCTGCCAAGGGCATCTCCAGCCACAGCCGCCAATTCGCTCATTAGCCTTCGCTGGAGCTTCTCTGGGGGGGAAGCCACAAAAACGGAGGCAAAAGGATCCCAGAGCTGCTCCAGGGGGAGGGAGGAAGAGGGGGAGGTTTGGATGCTGAGGCAGGAAGGGATTGGGGTCATCATGGAGGAATGGGGAAGGGAAGGGGAAAGGGAAGGGGAAAGGAATGGGGAAGGGGAAGGGTCTGGTTTTGCGGGGGAAAGGATAAAGCACATGAAACTCGGGAGTAGATTGGATTTTTTTATTCATTTTGAGGCTCGTGGGAAGAAAGTGAAGTGTTTGAGAGCAGCAAGGGGCTGACTCAGCCTCTTCAGCTTCCCATTCCCGTTGGAAGCTCCAGCACTTAGGAATGGGAAGTCTCAGACCCCTGGAAACCACCATGATCTCCTTAAAAAAGGCAAATTGAGGAGCAACTCCCACAGGTACAGCTCAGATGCGAAGGAATTCGGGACAATGCCTGAGATTCAGGGCAATCCACACCTTCCTGTAGCACCGACCAGTCCCGGAGGCACCAGCTCCCTCCTCCTCCAGGACCAGCGCTGGGACAGTCCAGGGAACAAGTGTCCAACCCTTCCCCTGCCAGTTCATCCTCGCAGACCCACAGAGGGGCACACAGTGACTCCCACCAGCCCAGGCTGCTCCAACCCATCCAGCCTGGCCTGGAACCCTCCAGGGATGGAGCAGCCACAGCTGCTC